ATTACATAGAATTTTTACCAGATAGTTCAATTTTATGCCCTAAGGCTATTCGTAGTAAATAAGTCAATTAGGATGCAATCACACTGCTCACCCGAAGGCGAAAATATAGAAAAGGTAAAATTAAGGATTAAATGCATCAATTCTAATGAGAATGCACTAGTGACATAAAGGACTGCAGTTTTACATAATTTCTGAGTAAGCTATTCATACGAACTGAAATAATTCTTGCATTTAAACTTGTATTCCAAATTAAGATTTAACTTGAAATTAATGTAGATAATTACTAAGAGAATTAGATTTTTGTAGCATAGTTTACGTGAGATGAGAACACTTGGGGTTACATGATATGAACCGGCGAATCAGAATGTTGAACCATGACAGCGTTGTAAGTTCTTAAATGAATATCCTTTTACAAATTTATTGTCTTTGTTTATTAGCTTCTTACAAAATTTTAAATGACATTAAACTGCTTATGCCTTCAAAATAAAAAATTCTTAAGCCTCCACATTTATTCAACGTCAAGTCTGTTCACTGCGACCGCTCAATGACAAAGTGAGATTGACCACTACAACCGGTTTTCTGCCTCTTCTCCTGCTAGACTCTGAAGGTGTAACAAGGTCTTCTGTCCGTCCTCACCGCTGATGATGTGTGTCTGCAATTTGTTCTTTTTCGTGCCTTTCCTACGACCATCTCCATATAGTTTCAAGATAATGCATTTTGTAAAAAAAAAAAAAAAAAAAATAGTAAGTGATATGAAGATTCAACTGAAATTGATCTAGATGCTAACTTCTGCGGTAAATAAATGACGTTTTATGACTTGAGACGTTCTCGAAAGGAATTCCCATGCATGTGTTGCATCTTGATGCTAGAATTGGCCTTGTGTTTCCCCAAAAATATACTGGAATAATAATTCAAGTCAAAGACCTTTGCTATAAAAATTGAATTTTGTTATCATATAACTTTGTGTAACAAAGATGAACTGAGATTTTTTAGATTGGAACTTTATGCATTTTGTGCACGAAAGGCTAGGACTCAAAATAGTAGGACTGATTCTTACTGCTGCAGTAGTTTGCCGTCTATTGTCTTCTGTCTGGATATGCTTTCTTGATTTATACTAATATTAATTTAAAATTTCACGATATCAAGATATAATAAATTTCTCGTAATTCACATTATTTGAAGTGTCATCCTTTGGGAGTAAGTTTCTTTAATTCTATATTTTTTTTTAGATCACACATTTCGTCCTGCACGTATCCAGTATTTCTGGGTTATTGCAGAAACCACCCATTTATCATCACATTTGGCCGCTATTTAATATTACACTAACATTTGTTAACATTTTCCATGTGTATACTGTAGTCGCCAATAGAGTCTGCTTGGTGAGATTTGCGCCGGCGAAACGGAAAAGTACCGAATATGTTTTTCCTGCTTCACTTGTAGAAATGTTTACATATTGCATTAATATTTTTGCCATTTTTTTCATTGACTGAAAAATAAATACAAGATGTATAAATATACTTTTCCATTTTTGGGATTTCTAGGTAATTTGCCAGAGTGTTTTTGTGAATCCAGATACTATTAGGCTGAAATTCCATATTCATCCTTTAAAAAATTCCATATTCATCCTTTAAAAATAAAATAAAATAAAAGTAAATAAATAAAAAGGAAAAACTATCTATTTCAATCTACAATCCATTTCAGTGAAATATAACACTTGTTTCAAGTTTGGAACTAGGGTTACTTCTGTGTTATCTATTAATATTCTCATTGTTAATTTTTAAATTCTACATAGTTGTAAGTGGCTCTTAATCCACTGAAATATATAGTAATTTATTTCATCTTCACAGCACAGATAGAGAGATGTCTTGTTATATCTTTAGGTATTGGAATTAAATATTAATGCAAGGTTGCATAAAAAATGTACCCCTAAACAGGAACAATGAAAATAATTTTCAACAGTATCATTTCCATTTAAAGAATATGATGCAGCTGCAATAATTTACTTTCAAAACAAAAAAGTAAAAAATATTAACAAGAAATTATTTGCAATGTAACACTGGTGTTTGAATTAAACTACTGTAGAGGGGATAAAGAAATCCAGAAGTGATAGCTGTATTTATCCCATAAAGTATTTCTTTATCTACTGTGCACATACTTTTGGGATGAGTACATAATACTTATACTATATATTATCTCTCTATTACTCTATAGATGTATTTACAAACAAATTTTTGAATACGTCTATAGATCAGGCTTCAAAACCTTTTTAATGCTTTGAAAGAAAATTTTAATTTCACTGAAGAAATGGAAAGCAACCAAGAGAAGAACTGGACTGCACATCCCTTCCAGGGCAATGTTAGTACTGACATATCATCAAAAGTTAGTAAAGAACTTACTGACCTAATTCATTACTAAAACTGAATTTTAATTGTAGTAAATTGGCATAGTTCTGCTTATCTGTCCCAAAACCTTATTCAATTCTTTCTACTGAAGCTTTGAAAATATTGTTTCCTTTTACTTCTTCATATCTTTGTGAAATTAGATTCTCACCAATGCCAGAATTTAAAACCAAGTAGTATCAAGATAAGCTGCAATTGTCAACTCTTTGCATCTGAAAATAACTTAAATTGACCTGGACTTGCCATCAGCAACAGCAATCGAAAACAGGCGCATCCTTCACCAGGCCTTATTAGAAATATTTTTTTGCAAAATATTTCAGATAAGGCTTAGGTCAAAATTATATTTAATAATATTTTTTTTTTTTTCACAAAAGTTTCCTTTTGATCTATAAAACTTCTTTTAAAAAAGAGCATGTGCTTTTCATCTCTGAAAAAAATTCAGTGCCAGTGAGGATGAAGTTTGTCACTATAGATTTGGTTTCTGAAAAGTGGGTCACAATGTTTACAAGTTTGGGACTCCTGCTGTAGACTGTTCTAAATGTAGGCTGCTAATCTAAGATAGTTTGTATGTTTTATTAACCCCTTATTTCCAATTTCTTGTTTTCTTTCTTTTTCTTTCTTTCTATTTTTTTTTTTTAAAGTCTGTTATTATATGTTTTTCTTCTGATTAATATTGCATGTATTCTTTTTTTAAACTACATTTTGACAATCATTGAATATTAGTCTTACAGCTTTATCAAGTATGAATTCTTCTGGGGAAAAGAAAATTTTGATGCAAAGGCCTTTTCTGCATGCTATTATGTTTAAAGTTATATTTTTAAATGAAAGCCATATTCAAGCAGATGCTGATGTGAATAACTTCTCTCTTTCTGTCGAGTTATCCAATATTGATGCAAAAGAAAACTAAATTGTTATATAGATATATACAGTCTTTAACCAAAGCAGTCCAAAATGTTACCAAATTTACTGGATCCATTCATGAAAGATAGGTCAAATGGAGCCATAATACACGAGTTTTTCTCCATCTGTACTAGAAGTGGTCACACTTCATGTCAGTAGCAGTCACTTGTTAGAATTTAGGAATATTTAAGAGGCACAACTAGATATTTTTATCATTTTAAATACAGTAAAAATTTTAAAATAGAAATCAGGATTTCACATTTTTAACTAACATGGTTATTTATAAACACCAGTAAAATGTTCTTGTTGTTTTTTCTGTATACAGGAAAATATAACCTTATGATCAAAATATTTCATTATGCTTTTTCAGGCAGTAAACCAAATAATTTCTTATGCTTTTCAACCCCTCATAATAATGTTCAGTAGATTTAACTAAGAATAAATTTAAAATGAAAGACTAACAGTTATTTAAAATGAAAGACTAGCAGTAGCAGTTTTTAAAATAATGTAAGTGAAAAATAATGCAGTAATTTGAAAAACATAATTAGTGATTTTTGCTCTCCTCCTCCTTAAGAAAAAGGTAGAACAGACCATACTGCAAAGAAACTGCAATTCTTTGCAGTGCATAAAATTATTTTCATACTTACATATCTTATTGACTGGCCTAGTAGGAATTTGATTAGGAAGTGGCCATCAATTTTTGTATTAATGACTACTTCCTTCAGAATTCCACAGTAATGACTAGCGACCTTGCCGAAATTTCCACCAGTAGTCAACAGCATAACACGTAAGTACTGTTATTTTTAGATAACACACAAGCTTACTATTGTTTTTGCATAAAAACGTAGTTCAGTTTTTCCTATAAAATTAACATTAGGATCAATGTTTAGTGATCAAAGCTAGCAGTGTGTTTGTTGCCAATACATCTTTTCTCCTATCTGTGTATCTGCTGTCTATTCTGTAACTAGCATCTTCACAATACCAAGTGGCAGGAAGGGAATTATTTGCTTTTTGTTTCTTAATCTGACAATAAGTATCTATTAAACAATTTGATATAGCTTAAAATTTTTAAACTTCTGTTATTTTAACCTTAAAATTAAGTTACTGACAGGTTAAAAAGTTCCAATAAAATTTCTGTTTTATATTATTTCAAAAATAAAATTATTGTTTGTTATAATTCAACGTCAGTATGGGGGGCAAAGAATTGTATGTGGCATAAACAGAATTATACATTTGCAACAGCAATTTAAAAATGAGAGCAGAGCTTAGCATAGAGAAAAGAAGTGTTCATTTATAGAAAGACTGAGTATCACATTAAATTAAAAGAGTTTCTTATTGGTGAATTGTTGATTGTTTCAACAGCATTGTATGTTATAGAGAGATTTGAATGAATTTTGTATTTTGTAGCAAAAGTATATGTGTATTAGTATCCCTGCTTATCACGTTAATTATGATTAAATCCCACGATTTTACAGTAGTTACTGTACTTAAAAAAATTACCAAAGTCAGCTGTTTTTATAATATTGTCAGATTTAATAATTATTAAAAAATAGTATGGGCTCAATATTGTTTTCTCATAATTTCTAAAATAAACAAAAAAGTGCTTTATTCTTGCTGTGACCTTTTTTTTAATAATTAAATTTGTAACTAATATTATTGTACTTAAATTTTCTTAAAATCTATTGTTTAATACATTTTTAGACAAACGAAGTTAAATCTGCATTGAGAGATCTTGATTTAGAGGCACAATTAGCCAAAGAAATAGAAAATGTAAAATGCCAGCAGAGAAGATTTCAGCAAGTGTACACCAATGTAAAAGATGTTATTTTCATTAAAACAACAGTAAGTTAGTTCAGAATTTTAATTTCTTAATGTCTGTTTGTGAAATTTTATTTTTGTCAGATAAATTTTATTGATGGGATTACCATATTTTCATAACTGGAATCCTAACCTTATATGCTTGTGCATAGAGGTAGGCACAATGATCCCACTGGAATTGATTCAAAAGTGTGTTTTGTATTAATGCATGAAAAATGTGTGCCTAATACATGTGTTTTTTATTCATGCAACACTGCATTTTACAATTTACATGGAAATTCCAAATTTAAATATTAAATAAAGGTTTGTTGATGTCATTATTTGTCTCCACTTCACCTATGTCCGAAAATTTTATAAGAAATTAATTTCAGGCATTAAAAAGCCTGCTACACATACATTATACAAGCTTATACTACAGGTAAAAATTAGTATGAAGGATGAAAGGAAATTATGCAGTACTGGGAGCAAATTAAAAAAACATAGATATTTATGATTTGCAGCATTTCTTCTCTGAAGCTGATGTTGATGAATGAGATTATTGTTTTTGTTCCACTTTCCAACTTTTCATTAGGTAATATCAGGTTTTAATGAAAGTTTCCCACCACCAGAAATATCATCTGTACAAACAGTTTGTGTTGGCCATGTTTAATCGTATTTTGTCAATTTTTGGGATTTAAAAGAAACTTGTTTTAGAACACTCTGTTGTGAAATTTGTAAAAAAATATCATTATCTTTAAGTACAAGATGTCTGAAATAGAACTATCAGGCTACCAGATTAGAACCATCATTTACATCCAGTTCTGTTGCAAAAAGTCAGCTACAGAATGTCACCCAATCATGTGTTCAGCTTTAGGTACCAATGTATTTTCGTATGACACTGTGAAGGTTTGGTACTGAAAATTCAAAAACAAGAACTATGAATTGAAGAAGCAGAGCACTTTGGCTGGAAGGATGTTGATAAGGTCCACCTGCGAGAACTTGTGAAAGAAGATCAGTATGCAACCACTAGAGAGCTTACTAAGGAGTTAGATGTTAGTGCCATATTCATTAGTATCACTATGCATCATATAAACTTGATGCACAAGTTCAATCGCTGTGTGCCATATGAGCTGATTCAAGCAGGTAAGGACAGACGTGTTCAGCCCTGCACTAATTTGCTCGAGTATCAACACAACGGCAAAATTATGAATGGGATTGTCTGTTGTGATGAAAAGTGGGTTTATGTCAACAGCACAAGCCAGAAAGCAGGTTGGTCTGCACTTGATGATCCCATCGACAGCATCACAAAGCACAATTTGACTAACAAAAAGATCATCCTTGTATCTGGTGGGATTGGTGCGATATTCACAAAGAGTAACTGGAAAAATTTAAACCATCATTCCCTAAGGTGTACAACAAAATGCTAGTTTGTGTTGATGCTGCTATTAAGGAAAAACACCGAATGGAGTTCCGGCACAAAAAGGTAATGTTCTATCAAAATAATGCAACACCACATGTGTCTGCATTCACCGACTGGACTCTGTACGGATTCAAATGGGATCTTTTACACACCCACCATATAGCCCCAACATTGTTCCATTGGCCTTCTACCTTTTTTCATACCCTATGGCTACCTATTGCTTATACTATCTTCCATTCTGCACAAGACATCCAAAATGGGGTTGATCTGTTTTTGGACTCATGCCCACCAAGTTTTTGGGTCAAAGGCTCTGGAAAAAGAAAAACGTTGGCAGAAAATCATAGATTTGGTTAGTGATTACTGCCCACACTAAAGGTACTGCTTTTATGTGTTTTTTACCCCCTAACTTTATTAAGAACATTTTTTTGGCAGAAAACTTTTATTACAAGCAGATATTTTGGATAGGTACTTTTCTATTAGATATTTTATGTTCACAAAAATCACTATATGAATATTTAAGAATTGCTTTCAAGTAATTTTCTTTAGTTTTTTTTATTTTTTTTTTTTGACTTCTTTCTTAATTGCCATTGTTCATATCTGAAAAATATCTTTTACTTTAGAGCTTATGCATTTAGCAGAGAAACTCATTCATACAAATCTGGCACTATCAGTCTTATTTAAAATTTCTGAACATAATCCTTGACATATTTTAAATCCAGAATTGACTGGGTTAATCTTGGACATCTGTTAATACCTAGGGTGAATGTTACTTGCCTGTATATATTTATATTGTACGATTTGAGAATTTGATATTGATATTTGTACTCGCTATTATCCAGGCTGAGGCCACAGAAGCAGGTAACGAATAATTGAAAAACAGATAATCCATACTATCAATTTTCATTTATATTGTATGGTTTTATTTCTTAAATTAATAATTTTGCTTTTTGAGAACTTTTAAATAATTGTCTTTCACTGTGTATTTTTGAAAGCACTGTTTTATCATTCTATTTGAATTTCCTTTGGTCGAGGAAGTTCAGTAGAGCTTCAAGAGAAATTGTTGCTGTCTTGGGACTAATATAATTGCTAGTATCTTCTTCACTTGCATTTTCATTATCACTCTTTGTTTCTTCTGTTCTTGTGACATTTGAAGTGATATCCACATCACATGAGCATTGAAAGCTTGGCTCAGTCAAATCGCCATTGAACTATTCCTTGATAAGAAATTCGAAGAATTTTGCATTTAAAATTTTTTGGCATTAAACTTTAGTTATTGCCTCGACTTTTTCACAATTAAATAAATCTTCTATTTATATATTAGGAAGACTCTTTCTCCATAATCAAACTTATGAGTGTTATTTTTTTACACATTGCTGTGCTTGCGCATAGTTTTGCATGCACGAATAATCTATAAACTGAATAATCGGAAGTACACTATATGTGTGAATTATATTTTCATTTCTTATGTAGTAAAGGTAGCCAAATTTTTTTTCTATACTTTAGATTGGTAGGTTAAATTTATTCAGTAGAAAATTCTTCAAACTTCAAAATTTTATTATTTCATTAAGAAAACTATTTCTTTGAAATTTTTTATTATTTCAAAATGTATGGCTTATTTACTTTTTTGGATTGTCTTAAGTACTTCTATAAACTTTGATTTAAAACTTTTAGCATATACTAGGGACCCGCTCCGGCTTCGCAAGGGTATAAAATATATAGCCTATGTCACTCACTGAAAAAATGATTTTAATCGATCCAGTAGTTTTGATTTATTCATTACTGCCCGTGGCCCGCACACGTTAAATTTGGAGTAAAACAATTCCCCTTTTCCTATACCATGAAGATTTCCTGCTATCTTTGGAATATCTTAATTCATTTAATCTAATCTTATCTAACCTTATGTACTTATAATTACTATAAGTGCGATTTAAAAATTAACCTTAGAATAGAATATCATTTATATTTTAAAACTACTATCATACAATTATTTATCGTAACTTACTTATAATTACCTGATACATTGTCCCGCTGAAAAGCATTTTTTATTAAGTATATTGTTATTTTCCTCGCTAGAGAGCTCCGATAATAAACGCGTCCGATCGCTGCTAAATTCAAAGTGCTATAGGGAGAACCGCGGCCTCCGACGCGCTATTTATAGGCACGCTCCCGCCGCCCCGGCCGGCCGGTACCGCCGCAAACGCTACGTCCCGCAATTTTTAAATCTGTAGACCTTTTCAATGTGTACAATACTTAGTACATTATTTTGATAAATCTCGTAGGGTTCAGCCTGCGTTTGCAATGTAAGCGGAAAAAATGTAATTATTTACGACATCACATTAGAAACCTAAAAAATAACAGTATTTCTCCACTATTTAATGGATGTTATTATACATATAAACCTTCTTCTTCAATCACTCTATCTATTAAAAAAAAACTCGCATCAAAATCCATTGCGTAGTTTTAAAGATTTAAGCATACATAGGGATGTAGGGACAGAGAAAGCGATTTTGTTTTATACTATGTAGTGACATATATATGACCACTGTAAATGAGAGCAATAAATAATTTGCTGAAGTCAAGGGACATTTAAACAATTATAAAATTACTTGTAATTAAACAAAGTATAAAAGAATAAAGAAATGATTTAAAATTTGATTTGGATTACCTTCCTTTTATTAATACAGTGCTGGCCATTAAAATTGCTGCACAATGAAGGTAGCATGCAGCAGACCTCAAATTTGCATGAAAAGTATTCATTACCTGTTGGGATATGTAAATGATCATTTTTCCAGTACATGTAATAAAGAAGATATAAGTAATGTCATCTTCAGTGTGTATAAATGGGAAGACTGCACAGAGGTTTTCTCATTCGGAAATCACATTTAAACATTGCTTGTGTAAAGGATGTGTTATTCTTTAACCAGCATATGTTGGAATTAAGATGCAGCAGAATTGATAAACATATATCACATTGTGTTTTTACGCTTGTGATAGTATTGTTAATCAATTTGGAGAATTAAGTTCCATTCCCCCAGCAGTGCAGACTTCAGGACATATACAGGAGAAGGATGTTGCGGTGTAATTGTTTTTCCGAGGTAGTCCCATAATTTCTCTATCATGTTAAGGTTAGATTATTTTCTGGCCACAGTATTTGCTCAGTGTCTATACTTTCAAAGATTTCATCAATGAGGTCTGCTCAGTGTAATGCTCAAGCATGAGAGTCCGTATGTCTGTGGCCAGTCACAGATTCACTGTTGAAAATGTGTAGGTGACTAAATCCATTGATTATTAGTACCATACCATCCTGCATGTATTACCATCACATATATGCATTACCATCACACATGCATTACTGAAATGGTCGCTTTCCTTAATGTTGAAAGAAAGATTTTGTGTTTCTGACCCCTTCCACATGTAAATACATTTAGAACAGATATTAAATTAAGCCTTGACTCATTAGTAAAGAGAATATATCACCACTGATGTTCCCTCCAGTTGACCATATATAACCAGAACTAGATTTGCTTAGCATGTATGTTTTGATACCAAATTTTGCTTTTTTCAGGGGTATGTATTGGTGCCAGGATAAACGTCCTTTGTACAACATCAGCGTTTGATCTGTGATAATATTTCATTCTGGAGTAATTGTTTTTTGATATACTTTATTGAGATGCTCACAGATAAGCCACATTTTGTAGAATTTCGAGCTAGGATGATCTTCTGGATCATAAGAATCATTGTTCACAAATAGAAGTATTTTTTTATTTCACAATATCGATTATAAGACATAATCTTACGGAAAAAAAGGAGTTTCTACTTATGTTTTTGTAGTCCGATACATGCTTTCTTCAGGTTTTTTTTTATAATACCTTGTAAAGCTGAAAGCAAAAGGAACAAATGCATTTCATGTGCCGATGCGAGTTTCCATTCTCTTCCACCTTTCAGTTTCCCTTTTCCCAATAACAGTACCTGATTGTTCAACATAATGATTAGTCTCTTTTACAATTATATCCACTGTTTCATCATTTATAAAAATGCTGATAATATTGTAAAACACCTGCATTAGCTTGAAGTGAAATAATAACCTTAGTCAACAATTTGAACTGAAAATGTGGAGAACAAATATCTGAGACTGGCTTAATTTGATTCCCCTGGCGCCTGGTAAAAGTTGCATGGGATTGTCACTATCTTCAGAATCAAAAGCAAAACTGCCTTCTGAATCACTTCTCGATTCTTTAAGACTTAAATCCTCTTGTTTACTTGAACTCATTTTACAAATATTAAACCAAAAATGAGCACTGAAACTACATCCTTTCAAAATATGCTCTAATGGAAAAAAATATTCTGAATCCACATACTACTGTTATCTACTTACAAGTATTATGCTGCTCTCTGTGAGCCGTTGGTATAAATAGAATTGGTACAGGCACGATAAAAATTGGTATTCATTGACTTTTTATTGCAAAAATAGAATTCGTGAGAGATATGGGCACGATAAAATTTATTTGGAATAGAGACGGGCACAACGAGTAAGTGTTTAAAGCCCTTTTTTTTTATTTTCTTCTTAATGGTGGTGACTGCAGGCTCTGAACTTAACTGCTGAGCTGTAGACTTCTTGTGATGATGGGCAGTTATTACCAGATATTGATCTTGAAAAGCATTTTTTTTATTTATCTATGACGTCTATGCCTCCTTACAACTGTTGTAGAGTTCTAAAATTGTTTCCGCAATTAAAATATCGTCTTGTCTTGAAACACTCTTACTACTTCCTTGATTTCTGCTCTGCTTCTAAATTATGAATGATTCCTCGCTTCACAGATTCTTCCAAATGATACTTCGGATTCATAACAGATAGTTTTGAGTCCTTACACACTGAAATCAAATGCTGTATAATAGAAATTCACTCATATTCACTTTTGTGCAAAGAGCTTGATTTACCAGCAGATAAATTTAATGCCTTGATTTGCATATCAGAAATTGTTTGATTACTTTTGATTTGATTATGCTAATTGGGCTTATCTTTCACATGTGCCCTGGAAAAATGGATAACATTGATTGGATACTTCATGGAATATCAGTATTTTTCGGTTGTAAAGATAAATTTGGACATGAGTGCATTCAATAAACAACCTCCACTATAATTCCAAATTTTCTTGTGATTTTATATTTTTCAAGTAAGTATTTTTGTAAATTCCCTAACAACGAGTGTAAGTCCATAACAATTTAATCAAGTTAATGAGAAGAATCAAAGATGGCATGCATATCCAAGAACTGGACTTGTATACTGTATGCTGGGAATGACAGTATCTGTGATTATGTAAACCAAATACATTAAATTGACTGACATTGCAAAGAAGGCTTAAGTTCATTAGCAAACAAAGATCAGAGACATTAGAGTATGTGAGAAATTGTTGTTGATATGGATTACCGTCAAAAGGTTAACATGCATTATTTAATTTATGTACAGTATCATTTTCATTATTGCATTATTGCATTTATGTACAGTGTATATTTCACCCACTACATTTGTATTTTCATATTAAATACTGTTTTATAACAACAGGATTTTTTCACAAGAATGGATCAGTTATTTTCCCTTTATTTCTTGTTTGAAAAGTTTGTTTAAGTCTAAACATCTGGAACGGATTAGTGACATATTCTGATGTGCCACTTTATTTGGGAAAATGTATAAAACTTTGATCAGATTAAAAAAAAAGGTTTTTATTTAACAAAAAATCTGATATGGATACCACGACTTTGATGTACAGCTTACTTAATTACACACATTTTTTTTTTTTTTTTTTTTTTTTTTGCTGCATTTCATTTAAACTAATTTCCTGAAATTTCATTAAAGATATATTTCTCAATATTTCAGATATCACTTTACGGCACGGCAAATTTCATAAAAACTCAAAACACCTTCATCAAAAATTGTAAAACATAGAACTCCAAAAATGTTTTGCAATTACAGTACTTCCTTTTTTCATACAAGGAAGTAAAAATAATCAATTAACTAAAAGGAGAAAAATAATTTATTGTAGTTTCATAGAAACAAAACTTCATCAGAATGAAGTGCAGTTTAATGGTTTTTCAAATAGTTTCTGAGAAAAACTCAATTTAAGCTACTAAAGCCTTGTTCACATGCACTTTCACACAGCCACCGTTTCTATTAGGGAAGGAACAGGTATATGAAATAGTTTCGCCTTCAGGGCCGGTTCAAATGCACATCGTCTTCCATTCCTTAAACCATAAGCCACTGTGAGCAGTGATGTTACAAACATGAATCAGATTGACGGATTTCTAATGTTTGCTTACATCTTTTTTGACATTGTTTACTATTGTTATAATAGAATGCCATCGAAGTTTAACATTAGTTAAAATACACCTAAATTAATTTTAAACACAATTTATATATGAGACCAAATAGTTGAAAGAAGAAAAGAAATCACATATACTGCTGAACAGTTTTATACAATGCTTTGCGGCTGTTAAAATTTGAAACTTAGCTTTTTGAAAAAATGAATAAAACAACAAATTAATATTGATTATAAATGTTTTAGAAACTATATTGTAATTAATTCATGTACTAAAATTGTTTTGAACGTGTTTTACAAAGACTTTAAATAAAAGTTTGTAATTTATGTTTATATTAACCAATTGAATAGCCCTAGGTTTTATTATATATATATGTATTGAAATTCAGCAATAAAAGTTTTAAGAAATTTGAAATGATTTAATGACCATTTCGATTGTTTACATTCTTTAAACTGTGTTTTCTCAGTTTACATTTTTTTGATAAATCCTTTTACTTAAAGTCCTAAAACTTATATAGATATGGACTAAATTATTTAATATTTTTACTCCTTATTTAAAATTATATACTTTATAAAAACAAAGATGGGTTTTGAAAAATACTGAAAAGGAAAATTAGTTGAAGTGAAAATGTGATTGAGATCATATTTGTTTCAAAGATTTTACATAAGAATGTGTTCTTATTTTTTCCAAGAAACTAATTCATTAATTGCAAAATGGATCCTTAAAGTTATTAAGAACAGTCTAATAAATAACATCAGAAAATTTGGGGGGAAAACATTAAAAACTGTAAGAGCAGAAAAATATTTTAATTTTTAAATGTTTCTTCCAAAAATTTAAATTAAAACAAATTACTGGCAGTAAACTAAATAAACTAAATTTTTTTCAGCTTAAAATAATTTGCCTTATAAAACCATTTAATAATATTCATGAAAAGCAGGTGCACGTTCTTAAAAAAAAAATAATTCAAAAAGTACTGAGTCCCCTTGTCATGTTGAAGCAGATATGCACGGCTTTAGTTTTAATTTGAATGGTATTTTTGGAATACCGAGCATCAGATAACCTTGTCTATACTTGTTTACAAGTTTCTGTGTTTTGTACAGTTCTATCTAATTTTTTTGGATGGTATCTCATTCCCAGATATCTGCTAACGCGATTGTTTCGCTGACAGCCAGTTATGTAGTTTGTTAAAATTAAGTGAATCGTGCAGTGCAGTATGGGGAATCTCCCCATTTGCCTTGCTCCAGAGAGGTAGAAACGTTCTACCAAATTCTACTTCCAATTTGGAGAAGCAGTTAATGCTTGTTTGCCATGTGAACAGGACAGCTTGGAAGAATCAGTTACCAGTCGAATCTGCTCTTGTGAAAGGAGCTTAATTATACAGACATTTATACATTCAGTGACAGTATGTTCTAGCTCCAAAGAAAAAGAAGGGACTCTCAGATTAGAATAAATTTAACAAAGCTCTGGTGCCCATAGCTCACTACTGGTCATATCCATTCAAGCATGTGAACTGCTATATTTTTAAAATATGCAAGCCTCTTCTGAAATGTTTTTGGGGAGAAGGGGGAAAATAATCTGCCTTTCTTCTAATGTACTATATACCCCACCAGTCTATGAGTGGTTAAGGTCACTGAATATTCGAAGTTTGACCTATTTTGGGTTTGATCCCAGGCAATTGGCTGCATGATGTTTCATGGGTTTCCACATGTGTAACATGAATTTGAGCCATTTTCCCTGAGAAACTTATAAGTACTGAGTCCTGAACAATGGCATTATTCCTCTTAGCTAGATAGCTCTCATGCCGTGTTCAAATAACTTAATTTTCTGATGGATATTTCCAGATAATAATTCAGTATTAACATGAAATTAGAAGAAAGTTTTCTTCGTATGGATTTTAAAGTTATAATTATTAATTTTGTTTCTTGCATCAAAATCTAATTAGTTTATAATAATTAAACTTAACATTAATATTATAACAGTGGTGATCTATCAAATGTATGCATGTTTTAATGGGTCGGTATATGAAGAGATTAAATGTATGTTGTTCTTATAACCTGTTTTACATAAAGTTTAAAAACAGTTACTATATATATCTGTTAAAATAATCTACATCAATGCAGTATGTATTAAATCTTCTGTATAGACAATATAAACTTCTTAGTTAACATTTTTATTTTTTCTTTTAGCTGCTGGATCCTACTGCTTTAGTGGAATCAATATTTGATAGCATACTTCGAACCGGAAAAAGGAAAACAAGGTTTATACAAAAACTGAAGCCAGTAGTATTTACATGTAAAGCATTTGAAGATGATATAAGAAAATCATTAGATGAATATTTGCTCTCATTTTTAAATGATGAAAAGAATGTTTGTCTAACATACAGCATTGATTGCAAAATTCGTTACAATAGCAATACTTCTTCATCTCACATAAAGTGGTATGTCCGAAAGTCAGTTGAAAAAAGTGCTCCAAAGTGGACACCTTCTTTAATAGACCCAGATATTATGATATTTGCACATGTGCTGTGTACTAGTTGCTGCATTAGTGTGTTAAAGAATTATACAGTTTATAAAAAATATAATTTATCAGAAGTAGCAAATTTGGGAAGCAAAATGTATCAAAAAATGGAAAATGCTGCTACTGAAACCATTGCTTCAGCTGTAGGTATACCAGCTGAAATGAATCCCAAAACTGTAGAAATACATGCTGAAGCTAACCCAGCAACTGTAGAAATATCTGCGGAAACTGTTGCTGATCTATCAACTGTAGATATATGATACAACAGTTTTTAAAAGAAAGTTTTGTGAATAATATTACCATAAGATTATCCTGTTACACATAAACAATAGTCTCAATGTTTATAAAGTACTTTTTGTAAGATATTTTTTCTATAGCCCAAATAAGTTTCCATAAAACTGACTGTTTTAAAAATTGAACTGAAATGAGAAGAAAGTAATCTAAGTATATACTGTCTACTGTTTATTTTTGATTTTAAATAAAGTTTTCAAAAGTGTCTTGAATTATATATTTCTTAGATGAATTAATGCAGATAATATACAGAGTATAACAAAAATTAATGGTCACAACTGTAAGGTGTGATAGAAATTTCCAAAACAAACAACTTTCATCCTATAATGTGGGTTCAGAAAGCAAACAGCAAGCTGTAAGAGAACACTGGGTGCTTTCTCTAAAGTGGAGAACCCATCATTCAGCTGTTATTTGTTGCCAGAGATGCAGAAGTATTCATTTACAGGGAAAGTTCATATGCACCTTATGTATGGGGCTGCAAACGGTAATGCTGTTGAAGTGGTAAGACTTTATCAGGAGGAGTTTCCAAACTGGGTGTTGCCCAATCTGAGAACATTTCAATGTTAGTATAGGCAACTCTTGGAGATGAGCTCATTCCACAGCCAAAGATGTGACACAGGTCAATCAAGGAGTACAAGAATGATAATCGAACAGAAGCAGCCCTTCAGGCAATGGATGACCAGCCTGAAGAAGCATGCGAGCAGTAGCTTGTGACCAAAGTGTCAACCATATGATGGTATTGTAGCGATCATGTGGTTTGTGAAGCCTTGGTAGTTGCTTGCTCGAGTCGCCATCTATTAACACCAGTGAAAAGTGCAGCATTGGATGAGCAGGACCCAAACCTGGGTCGGTATATTACGAATCAAATTCTTTACCGCAAGCCCAAAAGAGCTCCATTGCGCTAGGTTTAAGAATTCCAGCTTTTTCAAATTTGCGAGCATAGAGTTGCTATCACGATTGCTACCATATGATGTGCGTTACATGAAAAAAAGTTACAACCTTACCATCAACAGTGGGTCTGGACCTTAAATGAAAATTTCCACAATATGAAACATTTGCATTTTGGTTCCTTCAACAGAGCGTACTGCGTTCACAGTTTGCAGCATGTGTTCTGTTTACAGACAAAACTATATGGGGATAAGAATGAAAAAGCATTTTTGGTTCCATTGGTTTGTCTTTCTCAATTCTCAAAACCTTAAGGCATGTGCATCATTTGGCACTTTGGCAGTAACAATGCAAACTTTGTTCTGAATTGAGAAATATAATTCTTCGTTAGATATAGAGAAAGATGTATATGTACAAGTACTATATAGAAAAAGATGACTGAAATCTGTGCCTACCCCTCAGAAAAGGGCATATTTTGCTAGCTTTTAATTAAAAGTTATCACTTTTGTTAAACAGTGCTGTGGATAGAATTGAAGATAGTGTTAATGAGGCATATGTTAGCAATGTTAATGATCAAATGGAATATGATGACATTCTCCTGAACTTGCCTCTAGCAGAGCCTTTGAGAATTGCTAGAAAATTCTGAGTCCAATACCAGTATTGAGATATTTGATTAACATATATATGGATTAAAAAATAACACTTTTTTAGTTATTTAACCTTTAATATTATTTTTGTGATCGAATTATTTGTTAATCATTTGACTTTATTCATAAGACGACTCCTAACTTCAATCCTAAAAATTCTTCCTTGGCTTATACACGAAAATATATGATAGTTACATTTGAATTCCAATTAATAGTTTTGAATAGCAGAATTTCAAAAAGAAAATACAAAATTTAATTTCTGCATATACAGATATTTTGCTGAATTAAGACAGATAAATCTGTAATATATATATATATATATGTATATATATACATATGATGTCTTTCTCATTGTAATAATTCTAATTTTTCATTCTTTCTCATCACTCTTGCCCAAGCAGTCAGCCCATTCTCCTGGAATCAAACACAGGTTAAACTACCAGTGTTCTGTGACTTTGCCACTGTGGGCCTAATACAAAGAAATATAAGACTGATACTTAAGATGGATTGCACATCCTTACACTATGGTGACTTCGAAGTCACAGCACGGTTAGTTGTCTTTTTTTGTTTACCGTTAATGACATCAGAGTTTAAGTGCAAAACATAGGGGAAGCAGAGCAAGGAAATCCATCCTCAAAATTCTGGAAGAAAGTTTTAGTTTATTTGGTTTGTTACTAATACTGTGTTTATCCAAAATATTAATTAACAATGAAAATGGCAGTCACAGAATACATTCTGAAAAGGTAGTAAAAAGGAAGACCAGAAGGGAAAATTAAAAATAAATAAATAAATAATAATAAATAAAATAAATTAAGGAACAAAAAAGAAACACCATTTTTTACTGTAGGAGTAATCACCTTAAGTATAGCATTGGCCCTCTACCTCACCATTAGCTCAAATCACAATAAAATAATATTGAATTTAGATTCATGAATTTCTAAGAACTTTTGTAAACATGGTTTTATTATAAAAAATTCAGCACAGTTAATTAACTAGTTTTCCTTACTTTCCATTTTGGGGGAAAAAAAATGATAGATTTTTGAATAATTGCCGAAACTTTGTTTTTCTCTACCGGTTTCAGATTAATTGCAAACATGTGAGTAAAAATGGTTTGTTTTATATGATTATGGCAAAGCACACATGGGCTATCTGCCTAAGGGAAGGGATGCCTTTATGGAGGTCTTTTTAATGGAAACTGGCTTGTATATATGTTACACGTGGGGAAAATCACAAAAATGACCATGTAGCCAGCCCATTCGCTGAGATTCAAACCTCAGACCAAATTACCAGTGTTCAGTGACTTTTACTGCTTGACTGTTGATGGCCTAAATAATAAATGGCATTCTCTTAGTCAAAATCTCTTTTATATAGTATTTTAAAATCCATGACCTAGGATGATTTGCATTGGATTTGATTCTTTACTGCACTTAGCCCAATACTTTTTGACTTTTATTCTTCACTTTGAGCTTAAAATATGCACCATTTCATAACTGCATTTAATTTTATATCATGACCAAAAATATTGTATTTACTATACATTAATTTACAAATCACATAGTTACAGAATTCATGCTTTAATGAATTCTAATCTAAATCTTCAGTTTTCTTCTTTACTGAAAAATGGTTTTATTTTAGATACTCCATTATGAAAATTATTCAGCAGAACTCTGTTACAATGAATTTGGTTTTAAAAATGAACCCCCAGATATAACGAATGAATTCTTTAATACTGTCCAATTTCTCATACTTTTAATATTAGCATTTCATACAAGCTATAGCAAGCCTTCAAACATGTCAAAATTCAATATAACGAAATTAGTGAACACCTTCAAATGAAAAGTTTTTTGTTCTTTCCAGAAATTCTGGCAGTATTCAACTGAAAAATTACTTATCTTAAAGCTGTTTAACAATAGGAAAACATCATTACTATTCCTTTCTTTATTCTCAATTTTCTCTCCGAGTTCTAAACTGATCTATGGAGACAGATATAACATTCAATTCTTGGAAAGCAGGGATACACAATACTAGCTTAAGAGACCATATTATGTAATGAAATGAGTAACAAGCCAAAGAATTTGAATTGATTCCCTGATTTGAATTCTTTGATCTGTAAGACGAGAGATTCATGGCAGACAAGTACGATGCAATTTTTTGCTATTTCTTGGGAAAATAGGGAATAAAATCTTAAGAGCCTGTGGGTGTTTGTCTTTTAGGGATTGAAATTCTTTATCCTTATTTTCTACCCTCAGTATTTATAACATTGTCTTCTCTTCTAAATGGGGGTTTTATCATTCTTTAGACCTTATGCAAGATTCAGAATATTAATTATAAGGTTTTTTTAAACTTTTGCTTTGCAGCCATTTGTAGCTTCAAGAAAACGATTGTATTCTCACTAGATATTGGATAAGAGAGATTAAGGAAGAAATTACCTTCCTTTTCCAATTTTATCAGATGAGCAAAATTTCACATATTTTTTTATTAAACACTTTCTACTCTGTATTGGTGAAATTCTTTTCATCAAGATGACACATTGTGAACCTAATTTTACACTGAAGTTAAGTTGCACATTATTCAAAAAATAAAGAACTGATGCCATCAACTAAATTTCCACACACATTTCTTATGTGTGCCAATATGAATGGTACTGAGCATCATACTCTTCTGCTAAGAAAATCTCAAAAACCAAAATGCTTAAAAGATTTTGAAATTCTTTCTCTTTCCTGTAGAGCCAGAGGATATGGATGACATCGGATCTGTTTGGAGAGGGGAAAAAGCGCCAAAAGTGAAAGACTCAACTACACTGGTGAAAGAGAATTTTCATATTTGATTTACAATCTCCAGAACTACTGGACAGATTTTAATAAAATTTCGTGTGAACAAGGTTGATATAATACAAATAAAATAAACATTCAACAATTATAATAGACACACATGGGAGTCTGAAGGTCTGAAACAGCGGTTGCAGAAGACACAAAAGAAATGGCTTAATAGGGGGTATGGTCCCGTCTTACAGCCATACAGGCCTCGCAGTGTGGTGTCATATTGGAAATAAGGCAGTTTATCAGTGCCTGTGGCAATTGGTAAACTGCCCACTTATTCAGAAGCGCTATTTTCAGTTCCTGGATGGTTTTTGGAGGGGGTTTGCAAGTTGCAATCGCCCTCCCCAGAGTGTCCCAGACATGCTGTAATAGGGTTGAGGTTTGTAGACCTGGCTGGCCAATCCATTCGGCGACCGGAAGAGCTGCATATGGTCTCGCGTTATAGTCCTGTAAGATGAACTTACGGGCCCCACTGCACCCCGGAAAAGACGAACATATAGCTTCAAGACCTCGCACCAGTCAGAGAGCCTCTGTCAAAGATGTGGAGAGGTGTGCGGCCATCGAACATGATGCCTGCCCATACCATTACACCGCTATAATTGTTGATTTTGCGGGCATTAGAGGGTAGGTAGTGGGTCCCTGGCTCTCTCCATATGAAAGTATGGAGAGAATTGGTGTTTAGGCTAAAACGGGACTCGTCGATGAACAGAATGGTTGCCCATTGCTCCGTACTCCAACCACTATGCTGCCTGTGCATGCTAATTGGACTCTTCTGTCCATAGACATGGGCAGGATGCAAACAGATGGTCTTCTGGCAAACAAATCTCTCTCATTCAGTCTTTTGGAAACAATCACCCTTGTTACATGGGTTCCTGTGGTTGCATACGGGTCCCAAGAGAGCTGAGAAGCTGTAGCCCCTCTGTTACACGTCGCTAAAATGGACAAATAGAAATCTTCTCTGACCGTCGTGGCTCTTGGACGACCTTTCCCAGGCTTTCTCTCGATGGATCCAGTATCCTGGAACTGTTTCCATAGGTTACACACGACACTGGACGTTAAATTAAACTCTCTGCATTTATGGACTTGCGATTGTCCTGCCTCTAGTCTCCCCACAATTCGCCACCTCATCCCATCATCTAAACGTTGATCGTTACTCATTTTTACTGTTCTGATGTGAATTTAACTGATTGCTGCAAGATAACACCCAGAAATTTGCCAAGGTGTGCTCGCGAACGCAATTCGTCTTGCCCTCCATGCGCTTATAACCTGTTTTTCTGCTGGCTCCACCTACGTGTACACTTACGTATTTGCCATACAAAATATGCATTTTTATCTAGAAGCAATTGTTTTCCCTTCAGTTTAGTTCTTTTCATGCAATTTAATAAAATATGAAAATTCTCTTAATTTATTTCACCAGTGTATATTGCACACACAGATGTTGAAACCCTTAAGTAGATTATTTTCTTGCTCCTAAATTCAACTTCAATGTTGCACACTACAGACCAAGATATGACCAGGAGCTTGAAGTGTTATGAGAGAATGTAGCTCTTTTTTTAAGTATTTTACAGAATTAAGAAAATCAAGCACTTTATAGACATTTCATTTCTTGATATAATATTAGCGCAAAAATATTATTGGCAGCTTGTTACTGAATTAGCCATCTGAAATTATTTTCAGTATGCTGGTCTAGCAAAGAGTGTTACGGAAATGAGGAATAGTCTTTTGCTAAGCAACTATGAAAAAACTGCATTTTAGTATTTTTAGATTGTGACATGGTGCTTCTGTAATTATTTGATGATGATATGTGAATATTTGAGTGAGACAGATATTGTAACAGAAATCACAATGAAAATTACTGATTCTTAATATTGAAGAAACCCAACACTTGGGATGATAACTCCCCTCAACAGGTGTTAAAGATATGATGCATGTGATTAATGTGTTTTCATTCACACAATTTGTAGAATTGAATACAGATACATTTTTACCTGTAATCTAGATGTTAAGTAAAAGTTAAAGCTAAATTTGTAAATATTTCACATTTTTTAGGTAATAAATGATTATCCATAATTCTAAATATGTGTACTTCAGGAGGAGATATATGTTTTACGGAAAGAGTCTGAACATGACTTTTATGCTAAGTAATTTATAGAGTACAATTAACAACATATGATGAAACTGAAAAGCAACAAAAACAAATTTACTAATTCTGTGTAATAATAATTGCAATTATTATGATTAATATCATAATAATTGCAATTATCATTACACAGAATAAATGATATCTGAATATGATTTTCTTTAAATTAAAATTATTATTCATTACTTTTGGTAGATGTAATACCAGCCCCCCTTTTTTTAGATTCATCGGTTACTTTTTGAGATAAGCCACTTTTAAAATCACACTGGATTTAACAAACGAAACAAACAGTCCCAAGAACTGTGTTATAATTATTAGAGGTTTGACTATATTTTATTAACTTTTTTCAGTTTCAGCATTACTAAACTTAAAGTTTCTGTTTTGCTTCTGTTTGGCCTACTCTCTGAATGACCAATTTTGTTTTCAATACTTCTATCTTCCTGAATTATATATTAAACAGCAAACTTACTTACATTCAATATAATTACACTAATCCTTGTTACTGACTTTCTACCATTTCAGCAAAAAATTATAAGCTTTTGAATACTTATAGAAATCTTGTGTTTTTCCCCTATCCATGTTTCTGAAATAGTTGCAAACATAACAAAATATCTTTTATTTCAAAAACAAATGAACTAAATCACAGCCCTCCTCCCCCCAAAAAAAATCACAGCAAACAAAATACTTCTAGCTTCCTGAATTATATATTAAACAGCAGACTTACTAACATTCAATATAATTACACTAATTATTGTTACCTTCAACCATTTCAGCGAAAAATGATAAGCTTTTGAATACTTATGGAAATCTTGTGTTTTCCCCTTATCCATGTTTCTGAAATAGTTGCAAACCTAACAAATATCTTATTACAAAAACAAATAAATCACAGCTCCCCCCCCAAAAAAAATAATTCACAGCAAGCAAAATATCAGTCTAAAAGAAAGCAGCATTAAACTAGTTTTTTTTTTTTTTTTTTTTTTTTTTTTTTTTTACAAACAGCACTTTTCCCTGGTAATACATTTTATAATTTTCTTTTTCAGCACAAGACTTACAGTATTTCATAATTTTCACTAATGTGTTCATTTTTAAGATTTATATATTTTGTTCTGAACAATTTTACATTAAGAAAAGGTGTAATTCATTATTTTTGTGTTTCTGAATAAATCATTGTAAATTTTTCATTTCTCAGTACTTTTCAGCCAACTGTACTTGATATTTCCTCCCAAATTTCATTCAAATTATTTTTCTTACCTATTTTTCACTTTCATCTCTATTTTAGCATATTCTTTAGGGTATTTATTTGAAAACAAAGAAAATTAAATTTTTGCTTTCCGTGCCATAATGCATGAATTCTGAGAAATGAGGCATTGATTAATTTTTGCTTTCTGTGCCGTTATCAGAAGTAGCTTCATATTCTTATGAAGTTTTCATTACATTTATTTAGAGGAATCAAACATATTTAAAATAAGTATTAAACAATTATAGGAATAAAAAGAAACAATTTCCTGAATCTAATTTTATTTTTGTACACTTTTTATAAATTAAACTCTTTATTTTATTTACACAAATCTGCATCGCAGATAAATAAATATGATTAATTTACATTTTTTTTTTTGTGCTGAGTCTTAAATAAACTCAATACCTTCAAATTTATATGTACCAATTTCAGTTTCAGGTAACCAAATTTCTCCCGTAACTGTAAATACTGTGATAAATGTGGCTATATGGCCATCAGTTTCTTCAGATTTTAAAGCAACAATTACTGAATCTGAGGTGTCAGGAATAAATTTAAAAGAAGAAAATCCATGAGTAGGCACTACAGGACCAATATTTGTAAGAGTTATTTGAGAAAAGTCTTCATTAGCTTTTATAAGTAAGTTAGTTCCCATTTTCTCATCATCTTTGTCATTATATGTCGTCGTACTTGCCCTTCTCGGTAAAAAGAACCATTGTTGATGAACATCACTCCATACAACAGCTTCATGAATCATATAACCTGAAGAATAAAATCAAAAATGGAATATAAATAATTTTTTCCCTTGTAAAATTCGTATGTTCAAAATATACATTATTTTTTTTAAATATCAGATATATGATTATTCTTGTTTTATTTAACATTTAATAAATGACTCCACATGATGTTTACAAAGTCCTCATTTATATGCATTTATGCAATAAAACACATACTGTTATTACAGCAACTTATTTTTAAAATATGCTCCTGAATACAGCATTAAGTTAATCATTTAAAAAGTTATTTTATTTAAGCCATTTTATAATAACTATTATACCATGGCTATCACGATAAACATAAGTTACAACTCTATAATTCAAAATAAGCAGAATGATTTTGCAGCTGTCTTATCAGTTGTATTTCAATGATACACAAGTTTAAGCAGCACAAGCCATACTGTTTCAACTGCCATCATTGTCACTGACTAGAAGTATACCTTAGTGAATGATGAATCTCGGATCTACATAAAAGTGCATTCAGAACAGCTTCGGTTTCAACAAGCAATGTCTCTAATTCTTTAAGATTGAGCGATGTTCTGCCTAAAATATTCTTAATGCAGTTTTGATAAAGCATACCAAGTCTTTTATAAAACCCACCCCATCATGCTGCTTTGTCAGCAATATACATCCACCTGATTCCCTGCGAGGCATATAATTTCTTAACATCTGGATGACTGATTATTTTTCACATATTTCTGAGATTGTTTTCAACTTGAATTTTTTTGCATTATCTATGAAGATTACTGAGCAAAAACTTCTTCGTGTGACTAATCTCACAAGTGCCAAAAGAAACATTTCAGCTGATAGACTGCTGACAATATCAAAGTTCACAGTAAAAGAGTGCTTGCTCACTTTTGCTGTGTTTTACAGCATCCACACACATTTCTGCACATGGACATTAAATATTTTTCAGGACTTTTAAGGATCATTAAAGGAAAACATTAAGGACCTATCAGCAAATGGGAACTGAATAAATTCACACTTTTGTGTCACCATCCTAAGACTAAAACAGATCTGTAAGTAGGATGCATTATTATTAAACATAGTCTAATTTTCAACATAATTACAAAACAAATATAAGAGAAAGTCAACTTTGTAAAATTTATCATGTAACACTAGTCTAATTTTCAACATAATTACAAAACAAATATGAGAGAAAGTCAACTTTGTAAAATTTATCAAGTAACACTAAATATTTTACATTTATAACAGTTGGACAAATTTTAAAGATTAGTGAAATTTTATTTATGTTTTACTAACAGTTGGCTTTATGTTGACTTTTTTAATGTCTCATTTTGTCACACAGTTACTCAGTCTAGAGGTTTAGTAAACAGTGGGCAGATTTTATGAAACCGCACAGGTTAAATGAGAAGTAAAATCATAATCAGCATGATTTGTAACGAAAGCTTTGCTGTTGCCACTGCTGCTGCTTGCCTAATGGGCAAATTTTATTTATTTATTTAACATACACATTAGTAATTTTTCTCCTTTCTATGCTAAAAACTTCAACTTAGGTAGGGGAGATAATGTACATAGTGTAAAGATGATACATATTATTTCAAAAATTAAAGGTAAAAATACCATTAAAAATTGTGCACTCGAGTTTTCTTGCCTGTTGCATAAAGGACAATTTAAAAATTTATCTTTGGACTTGCAGAGCAATGATTCTAATGTATTATTCATAGATTGGCGAATTCTGTAAGCATTTTATTGAGTAATAAAAGGAGAAACACTGCAAAAGAACATAATGCAAAATTATGCCCCTTAATACTAAATATTTTACATTTATAATGTAATACATCAGTAATACAAATACTGATGGTTTTGTTACTTTAAAAATTTTGTTTCTAAGTCAGATTTTCCCCCAGTTTGATGGTGATGACGACATAATTTGTAACCTGAGCACTAAAGGGTAGTCAAACAGAGAAAGAAATTAAATTAATTCTCCTGATCATAATATTGATAAGAAGTAAACAATGTTAAGAACAAACAGCAACTTAAAAATCAAAGCAAAATCAGTTTTCTAAATAGCAACACAAAGAAATTTAGCAATGAAAGACTAAAGATTTTGTTAGTAATCACAATCTCATAAAGTTAAATAAGGAAACCAATCAGAAAAGAAAATTCACTGAAATGCATTAACAATTAAAATAAAGCAAAATATAATGAATTACAAAAATGAACCGCCGATTAAAAAAAATTAGTAGTAGCACACGAACAATCCAAATATGAAGAAGCACTTTAATGATGGATACGAGCAAATTAATTAAAAAAAAACCTAAATTAGCTGAGAATCAATTAAAAGAAAAATGAATGTTTGGAACTACTCTGATATGCGCCCTCAAGTAGGCCAAATTTCTTGCCCCACGTTGCCATATTGCCATCTAAATTTTTTGTCTACATTTCGAAATTTAAGCCTAAAATGTCTCCAAAAACACGGTTTTCGCGAATGCAAAAACCATGTTTTGCACACACAATTTAAGCTAAAAATCCGAAACAAAAACAAAAACTTTAGATAGCAAAACCGTAAAGTTTCTAACCAAAACTATTTGACAAGAGTCCATGTACACAGCGATATGTTTTAACTTCAAAAAACATCTACGAATGGCACAATTTAGGCAGCAAACAAATCTACGAACTACGCACACCTCACTTTAATAAATTAACATAATAACAATAAATTTCAAAGAATACCATGTATACAGTGTTCTGTTTCAACTTTAAAAAACATCTACGAATTGCACAATTTAGATGGTACGCACTAATCAACAAAATAACTAAAATAAATTTCAAACAATTAAAAAAACAACAATAACGACAGAAATTCATACTAAAAAAACAATGAACATAATATTCTATAAAATAAGAACAAGAATAAAATAAGATGTACTTACCATGAATTAATGCTTTTCGAAAAGCAGAAATACCAATTTCATACCGCCTTTAACATGTTGCCACGTAATCACTATCGTATTTATATGACAGCCAGACACACTATCCAGAAAATTCATATTATGGTTCACAAAAAAATAAAATAACAAATTATCACAAATCCGTACTTCTATCATGCACAGCCACTAAAAATAATCTCCCAAACCCTCTTTCCACACCTCCAAATACCCACTGCCCCTCAACAGGATGGCCACGACGATATTTCCTTTTGCCGAACTTCTATTCAACAACTTTCACCATTTTATCTTCCCCCTAGGTTCTCAGACACAGAGCATGACGCGAACCAACAAACTCCACCGAAAGATGTTTCAACATCAACAGGGTTGCCATACAACATGCAATCGCGCCAAAAACCAGCGCAGAACACATATCGCCACATTTGGTGAAATTAGGGCGTATATCAGAGTTGTACCGAATGTTTAAACAATGGATAACTAACAATATACAATAAAAGCTCAAGTATCCAGAAAGCTTGGAAAATACTGAATTCCAAATACCTAATAATTCCGGATAGTTGAGCATATAGAAAATATAATTCCAGTTAGGAAAGGGGGAAATCTGCACTCTAAAATTATAAAAGCAGTCATCTTATTTGTTATCAACTTGAATACCAAGAGACTACATTTAAATTACATAAGATTTAAAACAAAAATGTACTTCAGACAGAAAAGCCAACATATTTCGTAGACCTTAAATACTAAAATAAAACCTCTGATCCAATTATGAAATTCTGCCCAGCAAGAGTGATGGCAGAAATGATGCCGCTTATTCTGGCAGAAGTTTAAATGAATATATAATTCTTTATATAGTTAGATAATACAGAGATACAAATTACAAATGCAACATGTAAAAAAAAAAAAAAAAACCTTAGATTTCGTATTTATTTTTTCCAAAATGTGAGGCTAAACAGAGCTTAAATTATTCTTCACAAAAATTAAACCAGCTTATCAAGAATTAATCGAATTTACATTACAACCAAAACAAATATCTTACGATTGTGTTGTGGCAAAATGCTTATCCATTACTCATGCTAAATCACTATGTTTGTAGCCAATGCAGACATATTAATAGTACAGTCAAAAGTCGTTAATCCGGACTCGTCGGGACTTCGGCGATTCCGGATTATAGATCATCAGTTTAAATCTCGTAAGATGGCATGCAGAAATTCTAAAATTAAAAATATGAAACCGTAATTTATGAAATAAAGAACAATTATGATCTAAAAGGTACCAAAATTTACAAAAAAAAAAAAAAAAAAAAAAAAAGCTTAATATTTATTTGTTTACTTTTATTAAACATTCTTTCAATGTAAGTTGTTTAAGTTGCTTCTTTTATGTGATAATACTTCTCTTTTAATTCTATAAACAGACATAATTCTTGTTCAGTTACAAAGTTCCGCTGTTCAAGTCCCGTTAATTGCTGTGCCGAGAATACTGACTAACTCGTCAATCGAAATTTTTTCGTTTTCACCAACCTCTCTGTCACGTTCTTCATGTCTTTATCCATTTTTGCAGCAATTCCACTTTTGTTTGTTGGACATCGAAACATACTTTCGTTTTGTAGATCCTTTGGAAGTTCCAGCATCGGAAATTCATTTGACATAATCGAAAGTTCAAGTTACTTTTATAAAATTGCTCTTACAGTCTGCAAAAAATAATAAGCGGGATCCAATTCGAAGATTAAGGAACAACGCAATTATTAATATTAACTGAAATAGATAATTAGATAATTTTAGCTTACACCATCCATTATACATTAAACGCGCAGGCGAAAACGTATTCTGCACTTGCGCACACGCATATGCGCAGTAGTCAAGGTCTTACGCGCACGCGTAAAACACCTGTGCGCATGTGCCAACGCGGCGCATGCGCAGAAAGTTTTTAGCTTTGAGGTCCGGATTATGGGTGTTTGAATTAAGGACTTTTGACTGTATTTTAAACTCTACAATGGTGTTACAAATATCTCATTTACAAAATTTTTTTCTAAACTATTCTGATTACTTGAGCTTTACAGTTAGTTTATAGAGAAATTAGGTTATTTTTTAAAGCAAGAGAGATTAAAAAATTAGCAAAGCCTTTGCCAGGAATCGAACCACGGACCTCTGGAATATGCACCCAGTGTGCAGGCCACCACACCATGAAGGCATGCCAAGAAAGTGGGAGAAATACCTTATATACTCCCTCTTTTAAAGGGCGACTGGGGTTTTAGAGGACCCAGAGGGTTAAAATATAGCCTATATTTTAACACTCAGAGGGTTAAAATATAGCCTAATGTATGGCTATATTTTAACCCTCTGAGTGGCACAGTCATGAAGATCAGTATTTAAACAGCATTTATTAATGTAGTTTGTATAATTACTTATTTTAGTCTGCATTTTCATTGACTTGCATTTATTAAGATGATATTTACATTATTAAAAAAAAGTAAGAAAGCAAAATATCTTAAATTATAAGCTAATATATATCAAGTAGCAAAACTTCTGATGACCGGATAAACCCAGTCATAACGCTCAGAGGGTTAAAGCAAGAGAGATTGAAAAATTAGCAAAGCCTTCGCCGGAAATTGAACCGTGGAACTCTGGAATACGTGCCCAGCATGCAGACCACCACACCATGAAGGCATGCCAAGAAGGTGGGAGAAATACCTTATAAGTTGAATGCCCGATAGTCAAGCTTTTACTGTAGTTTTAAATTTTTTTCAAAATTAAGATATTTAATTAAAATGAATAAGAATTAAATTACAGTTCTTAACTTATGCAACTATTAGGGACCAAATTTGAGATGGCATCAGAGGTTATGTGAACATATGTAACTATGCTGCCACTAAAAAATCACATGATCTCTGATGCGATATGCTGCTTTTTTAGTTGACAAATTTCTGGCATTAATTTTAAATGATTTGCCATACAAAACAAAATCTCACCTAAATTGCATAACTTCCATGCTAGGGGAAAAAAAATCGCCAAATTTGGCATGCGGTAGTTTTGTTTTTTGCGCTCAAATATTTATTGAGTATCCATGTTTGTCTACTGCATGGAACCAAGCTGAAATCGAAAGACCTTACATAAGAGAGGGCTTAAAATATGGGAGGCTACTGAAATTTCCATAAGATCAAGTTGGAAGAAAGGACTATTTTCTAACCTCTCATTATAACGGGTGGCCATAATTAAACTGGCAGTGCTCACAGTGTTCTGTAGCATGATCTATTTTCGAGAATGACGCCACATTTTGTAGGAAGATTAAACAAGACGAGGGACGAAGGATTCCGCGAAAAAAAATTTAGTTCCAAAAGTCACCGCTAGGGGAATATTTGGCGCTGTGTAATAGAAAATAGAGTGTTAACAAATGCAAATCAATACGGAAATTACCTTTTATTTTGCATTCAAATGAGGTTCAATGTGGGTGCCGTTGTTGTGGACCACATATTGCATTCTGTGCACAGTATGCAGAAAGCAGAAAGTAACATGTCACAACAGCAGAAAGTAACATGTCTGCAGGAATCTCCCGTACAGTCCGTGATATGTTATCTTTCAACGTAGACATGTCCTGGACCACTCCTTGATAGACCTTGGACTTAAGGTAACCCCATAGCCAGAAGTCGCATGGGGTAAGATCAGGCGACCGAGGTGGCCATGCAGTTGAAAAGTAGCGGCTAATGACTCTTTCTGTTGTGAATTTCTGTCATAGCATCTGTTGCACCCGTACAGCAACGTGTGGAGGGTTCCATCTTGCATGAAAATGATTTCCCCCAGGCATTGTCTTTGCTGAAGTGCCGGAATGACAAAGCTGTTCAACATGTGCCGATATTTCTCTCCGGTAACAGAACAGGTTTCCGGTCCTGTCGGGGTGATGTTCTCATAGAAGAATGGACCTACGATACATTTTATTCTGTATTAATTTGCATGTGTTAACACTCTATTTTCTATTACACAGCGCCAAATATTATTCTAGCAGTGACTTTTGGAACTAATTTTTTTTTCGCGGAATCCTTCGTCCCCCATCTTGTTTAATCTTCCTACAAAACGTGCCGCCATTCTTGCAAATAGATCGCCCTACAGAACACTGTGAGTACTGTCAGTTTTATTATGGCCACCCGGTACATCCATTCTCAAAAGTACAGCCATCCTGTATAAAACTTGGAAGGAGGTGAACGTGAAATCACTATGCACATGGACTCTAGCTATGGAAAAAGAGATCTGTGAAAGTTTCCATTGTCTATGCAAATAGTTAAACATGTATAACACCATAAATTTATTTTATTTATCTGTCAGCTTTTAATTAAGATGGCCAATACCATATGGAAAAACAGCTAAGGTTAACTTAAAATCATGCTTAATACAAGGACAATAAAAAAAAGCACAGGAAAGAGAAGTAATACATATTATAACTAATATAAAAATAATTTCAATAATTTACCTATATTTTCAAGCAGTTTAATTTCGACAACAAGTTCATTTAGGTATGTAAATTACAACAGCTTTTGAAACAACAAAAGTATTTATATTACTCTAGTATTTCAAGTGAAGTCAGGCAAAACAGTAAATTCATGTTCCCCCCTTCTTCCCTGCTGACACCAAGGCATAGATGCTGACATAGAATTTAACTAGATGACAACCCTTACAATATGCATTGCTTCATGAAAAGAATGACCATTTTATTAAATCCAAAATAAATAGAAAATTACATAATAGATTAATTTCAGATTTCATAGGAGAAATAAAGCACCTGAATCATTTAATATTGCCAAAAATACCTGCATCTCCCCATAAATTTGATGATGCCTGAATCTGAAGAGGTAGGAATCGACATGATGACAGGCTCAGCGCTATGCCAATGACATTTATACGCCCTTTTGGACAGCCCACAATCTTTCAAAAGTCTGCATAGGGTATTTCCTGTCAGAGTTAATAAAGCTGTATCTGTGGTTAATTTCAAGTTTTCATACCTGAGATGCTAATTCATCCACTTTATATTTTTCCCAAAAGAGTAAATTCTTTTTGCCACATCCCCATGTGTTTGGTTGGTGAAAAATTAGTTGTCAATGAGTGGCTACTTTTCAGGAGGGTTAGGTGGATAATCCAAGAGTATCATTATTTTTAATGAATGATTTAATAATACTAAAATATTTTGGCTTATATACAATTAAATTAGCTACTGTGTTGGACAGAAACAAGCCTTAAATATTATGACATCATCACGAGTTGACTGTACAACTGATTAAAAATCAGACTTTCCTAAACTGAAATATAATGTTGTTAAATTTTTTAATTACAATCTAGCTGAAATAAAACAAATTATTAACATGTTTAAATACAGACATTCTTAATATGCATGACAATTCAAATTAACATGCATAACAATGTAAATAAGAAATCACTTCATAAAACATAACACATTTCAATAAAGAAATATTAAACTCACCAGGGAATTCAATTTTTGCCACCCTACGTACTGCAAGATAGTTCTGTCTCCAGTCTTTATGCTCAACCTGGCCTATAGGAGTGACAACTTTTACCCACTGAGGATTGAAGTTCACTAACTTGCCTTTAGATGATGTCCATTCTTTCCCCAAACCCCCTACATACAGAAGTTGATTCTTTACAGTAGCCCATTCACATTTGAATCCTGAAATGGTTAATATATATTAATTAAAGATTAATTCTAATATATATATACAGTATACCCTTGTTAACACGAATCTCAAAGAACCAAAAAATCCCAAATTTGTTAAAAAAATTCATGCTGCCTGGAGACTCAAACTTTCTTATACATTAATCATTTACAGTATATAGTTACATGAGAACTACAATACATTTTGTATGCCATCATAAAAAATACTGCAGTACTATATAAATTACAGCACTGTAACTTGTAAAAAATGCATTCATGGATCATTTTTTGATGAAAAATTCCTGTTCATGTATGTTGTGCTTTGCAGATGGGAATGAAAATGGTAATTTCACAGCCAACTGTACTCATGGCTTTCGTAAAACTAGTGGTCAATTCGGATGTTACAGCAAAATGTTTTACAGTGTCAACACAAGTAACATTTCCTGACATGTGGGCAGAATGATATTGTCCTCCTTACTTTCTTCTGATGACTTTTCTTGCACCTTGGAGACAACTGTTTGTACATTAGATTCCTCTGCAGCACTAAACATAACATAGTACTTTTGAAACAACATAACCATAAGTACTTTTGAAAATCTTAGTTAATGCACATGCCACCATGTAAACAAAAAGTTATTCTGATGTGGCTTGAATGATAAGCACATTCTGGACATAAATCACATTACACACATATATGAGTGTGCGATGTGACACATATTTTTATAAACAGCAGGGGCACACTCTCCATATGGTCAAGATAGCGTGGTGCACAATGGCACCAACGGCATAAAAGCGCACATGGTCGCCAACACTTTAAAGGAACTTAAGGTAATTTTATTATTTGCCACTACTGACCAGTGGTGAAAATGCCCTACTCTTATTCCTGTACAGACTCTAAATAGGTGCATTGTTTGCTACTCGGTCAAACATTTTCAGGTTTAAGATTGTGAAATTTTAGGTTTATTCAAATGCTTTTGCGGTCAGTGCAGGTTTATTAATTTTTCATTGCTGTCATGATCATGTGAGTGTACTAACATATGTAAGTCCTGATTTGCTAATATGGTGATGGTGAAAAATAATTCAAAAATAAGTGACTAAGTGAATTTAGCATTATACAGTCAAAAGTCGTTAATCCGGACTCGTCGGGACTTCGGCGATTCCGGATTATTGATTTTTCCAGATTATAGATCATCAGTTTAAATCTGGTAAGATGGCATGCAGAAATTACAAAATTAAAAATATGAAACCGTAATTTATGAAATAAAGAACAATTATGATCTAAAGGGTATCAAAATTTACAAAAAGAAAAAGCTTAATATTTATTTGTTTACTTTATTAAACATTTCTTTCAATGTAAGTTGCTTCGTTTCATGTGATAATACTTTCTCTTTAATTCTATTAAACAGACATAATTTCTTGTTTAGTTACAAAGTTCCGCTGTTCAAGTCCTATAACTGCTGTGTTGAGAATACCGACTAATTTGTCAATCGAAATGTTTTCGTTTTCAATAACCTCTTGGTCACTTTCTTCAGTATTGGAAGCGAATTATAATGACGAGGAACTTGATTTAAATCATATCAAAGACGGAGTACATCGAGATGAAATACTACATTTAGTAAGGAATTATAAGCCAAATAAAATAAAAACATCTGCCCTGAAGGTAAGGATAGTGCTGACAGATGACTTCCAATCCGTAGCGTGAAATTGATAAACAGATTTCGGATTTCAAAACATACTTTCGCTTTGTAGATACAAATTACATATTAGTAAATATATATCGGAAATTCTATTTAACATAATCGAAAGTTCAAGCTTACTTTATGAAATTGCTCTAACAGTTTGCAAAAAATAATAAGCCGGATCCAATTTGAAGATTAAGGAACAACGCAATCTGCAACATTAACTGAATTAGATAATTTTAGCTTAGCATATAACTCCGTTACACATTAAATGTGCATGCGCACAAACATATTCGCAGCTGTAAAGGTCTTACGCGCTCTCGTAAACGCCTGTGCGCATGCGTGAACGCGACGCATGGGCAGAAAGTTTGTAGCTTTGAGGTCCGGATTATGGGTGTCCGAATTAACAACTTTTGACTGTATACAATAATAATTATAATAATGCTTTATTCAACTTTACAAATACTTACATAGTTTCAACTATACATTCAGTTTACCTAATTTTAATAAATACTTAATGGAATTTGTCATGACAGTAACTATAAGACTTCGAATTTGAATTTTCTTTAATATTTTTTATATAAAATGAATAAAACTTTGTGATGCCTAACTTTTAGTGGTTTCATTTAGATGGTCAGAGAATTAGAAAAGAAACTGCCTGATTATCAAAACTTGGTTAACAAGCAAAAATGAGAAGACGACTTGAGAAGAGCAATTTAAAAGCTACCAACTTCTTTTGAGAAGATCACACATTTTCAAGACAGTATTTATACTGATAACAGTGGTTTTACACTTCCATCAACATCAAAGTTGCTATCAGAATTAGAAAAGATCCGATAGATTCAGGTTCTGATACATTTCCGTCTGTGCCATCAAGTTCGATTGAGAAAGATGAATCAACTGAACATGCGTATTTGGCAAAGCATATTATCTCCAACCCAGATGCTAGAACTAGTCGAAAAAGGTCCTATGTGTTATCAAAATAAAACTATGAATTCTAAAAACAGAAGTGGATGTAAACTATATATTTCAGTTGAATTTTGTCAAATGGTGAAAAAGTCTATTGTCAAATAATGAATCATACAACTTTATTACTGCCACTAAATGACAGTAATGAAGTTGGTAGCAGACAGCTAACTGATACAGAAGTTGCTGAAGAGGTAAATAATAAAGGCATTGCATCATTTGAAGAAGAAAAGAAAGACCTGCAATGTAAGAGATGAACTTGAAGGTCTTGTATATATATAAAGGCAACCCCCACACGCATGCACAAAGGGAGGGGAATTATTTTTTTTAATAATATAAATTGTGGACCTGTTTTTCATTGTTTTTGTTATAAACAGAGAAAAGGATTAAGCAGAAATGGTACGAAATTATGATAATTAAGGTTAAGTATTACCAAAATATCATTTTTTAAGAAAGCTGAATTATTCAAAACATCTTTTTCATTTTTCTCTGAATTAACTAAGCTAAACAGTATACATTAATACAAAGTACAAAAAATACCTTTATTGGTTCGCCCGTTTCCGTCTGTGAGCAAGATCCAAGGTATAGCACGATTTTCACTTATTTCATAGATTACTCCAGTTCGATCATCAAATGCGAGAAGTTTCCCATTATAGACAACCAATTCTGATAATTCCATTCCTCGGCCAGCTTGAGATAAAGTTGACTTTAACTTGACAAGATCAGAGTCCCATTCAATGCTTACATATTTTTTTGAAGTGTCTATAGTTAAATAGCCTTTTTTAAAATAACTAAACCATGTATAATTATTCTCTTTATCTTTGGAATCAGTGTCCAAGTCTGATATCACAGCTATTCTGTACCGTAGTCCTTTAGGTGTTGTGGCTGGAGGTGTCAAAGGATATGTTGAATTATATAACCATTGTCTTTTCTTTACTTCTTCTACATGTTGATGTCCATGCTCATCATGGCGATAGATATCACTAACTAATTGCTGGTTCCTTGTATATGGAAGAAGAGCATATAAAAGTACTAAAAAAGACACCCCAACTATTGCAACACCTACTACAAACTGAGTTTGTATCCTGAGTGTGGAATTTCCAACTCTGTATGCTGTTGGCATTCGAACAGCTTGCCTCCAGTCTTGTATAGACTGATGCATTTTCTCCTATTTTATAGTTCTTAACTATGACCATAGATGGCGGATCATTTTAATTACAGCATACCTAGTAAAAAAGAAAATTTTAAGATAAAATAACACAAATATATCTGAATTTTTCCCTAAAACATTTATGTAATAAAAATGATAATAGAAAACATAATATTTAGTCTTTGGTGGTAATGATAAATTTCCAAATGAAAAGATATCTTAAATTTTTCTTTACTTCAATTATTGTAGTGTAGAACTACAGCAAGAGATGCATGCTCACAAACTTACTTTGAAAATTTATAGCATATAGCATCAAAAGTTGGTAATTATATAACATGATTTGAAACAGAAAGATTTAGCATGAGAGTCTAGGATTTAAACAGAAGATTTTAAACATTTTATCCACATGGTGTAGTTTTACTGTACTATTATATTAGATTTTATTTATGATGTAATGAGAGTTTTATAGTTTTTTCTAATACTTAGAAAAAAAAAATCAGAATGCTAGAGAAGAAGCATGATCTTCAAAGAATTGCTACGAATTACATAAAGATATACAGATAAATGTGTTGTCCACTCTGTACTTCCAGGGGGCTAATTAAAGATAATGAGTTAAAATTTGATAAAAATAGATCAGGTACAGTAAATATTAAAAAAGATGAAAAAAGAAGGGGGGGAAACTCTTAATAAATAAATAAAAAAACTGACAGCAGTTTTTAAAATCAAAGCTTTATCTTGCATATATATTGTAGCTTCTAATGCACAAGATAAAACTGAATGGTTTATGTATTTTTTTATATCTCTTATATATTACAAAAATTATGCATGTTCATATTGGTTTCCTAGAAAAAGGCTGGCTATTAAACTGATGAACAGATTATATGCCTCACAGATACCTTCATGGAGGATTTTATGAAGAAAATTGTACCATATTAAAATTAAAAATAAGGCAAACCATATAAACACTCTTATTGTCATACCTTAGCTATTTTTTGGCTAGTTTTTAAATAATCTTGTTTAATTTTTTAAACGAAACTTAAGTACATTTTGGAAGTTTTTCAGATTTTTCATGACATCTGAACACATTGGTTTAATTTCAATAAATTTATTAGATTTCTGCCCCCTTAATTTAAAGCATGATTTATAATTTGAGTGTACTACTAATAAAACTCGGGAATCTTAATAGAATCTTAAGAGCTTCAGCCTATACTTTATTACATTTTATAGGTTATAAAAACTTAAAGCCTTAACTTCAAAAAATAACAACTTAATGGCCTTTACTACTTTAGCAAGGTCACTTAAATTAACGTGGGAAAATTGTTAAAATATAAGACTGCATAACAAATCTTGGTCTTTTCTCTTTTGTCATTTTACGCAAAATTCATTCTAGTTAACATTACTTGGTAAATAGACTGAATTTACAGATGTTCATGGTAAAAGACTACTATTAGAAGTCTGTGAATTAAATGAACATTGACAAATAACACAGATTATCTGTTGTTTTTAAAGAGTTTAAGAAGCAATTAGCAGTGCAAATTACTACATAAGAAACATCTAAAGTCTCTGAATCTGCATCTTTGCCTCTGCAATCTACCTCACCCCCATGCAGATCAATTCATTTTGAAGAAAACAATTCAACACTCTCTAAGTTGTTCCTGACCATAATTAATAATGTGCTTCTGATTAATTCTAATATGCGATTAAAAAGTTGATGAAATTATCTCCTTTTTTTCCACAGTTCTTTCTCTGATAAGTTAGGTATAAATAGTACCATTTTGTTATGTAAACACTGAGTAATCAGTGTCCCCAAAATACAGTTAAGATTTTCATTGCTTTAACGATTTCAAGAAAAATCTGCAAAAGAGTACAGCATTCAGAAATATTTTAAGCATATTTGAGACAGAAAACAATTCCCATTACATGCACAGAAATGCATGAAAAGTGCTTGGGCTGATTTAATATTCATTTAAGGAAGAAGGATTACTGGTACAATTTTGAAAGCCAAACGTTTTTTCACCACAGACGGAAACTTTTTAATATCTTACATGACACGATCAGAAAATATTGCTGCTGTTTCATTATGACAAAAAGTCAAAAAAAAATTTTACCAAATTTTCTTCATTTTTATACTAAAAATGAGGAAAAAAGTGAGACTTTTAAAAAAATCAGCAGCTTCATCTGCTAATATCAGGGTAAGGGAGGAGAAATCAGACCCTTTTAATGTCTTAGTTTCATTAATCATTAAATTAGGAAGGGAGGGAAACCACCAGTTAAATTCATTCTGAATGTCATTTGCGATGCCTAAGAATGATGCCAAAATATCTAAGCGGCTTCTTAATATTATATAATACTAAGATCTGTATTTCAAAAGCTCTAACATGTCATTGTCCAATAGTTAAAAAATGTTGATTTTCTGTCTCCTTAAAATCTAGCTTTACAAAGAAACAAAAAGCATTTAGTATTTGTTCAAAATTTCTCTATATTGCACCTCAATTTTTTCACTGTATTGGATGAAATATTTTTGCAATTGGTCACTGACATATTTCAATCAAATAGCTCTAAAAGGTACAAGTGCAACATATGCCTTCCTACTTCAAAGATGAAGCTGTTATTTCTTACAGCTCCTGCTATGAGGAGCAAATCTGTTTGATCATCACCGAATAATGCTATCCCACCTGATAAGCTTGAATGGAAAGTACCTATGCCTGACTGAAATGACATAAGTACTTTGACTGATGATGAAATACCTGTTGGAATGAATACTGAAGCAATTAAAAAAGAATAATATGAATTGGAAATATATACATATAATAATAATCAAAAAAGCAATATTAGCCCATAATTTTGAATGTACTCTATTCCAGTGCTTCTTCATGGTTCTCTGCCAACATTCATGGTTGATGAGATTTTGTAATTGGATAAGATATTTTATTTTGATATGTTTAACGCCTGTGAAATAGATCTGATATATGCCTGAACCTTCCCCTCATAAATCTCACATAATTTTCATTAGAGACACTTGATAAAGTTTATAATAAACAAAGTGATTACTTTTATGATTTTAATGGGAAATTTCGGTACTCTTGTTATTAAAACTGGCTTCAGAAATGTATACGTGCATACAGTTTCTGAATCTAATTCTTATAATAGAAGAGTACTGAAATTTCTTCCATTCATTTGGCTGTTCTATTGTGAATTACACTTTAGTACATTTAACTATATGGAATTTTTGCATATTTAGCACTCAATATTTCTCAATCTTTACAGATGGTCAAGCTTCTACTATATATATATATATATATATGCAATAATAAAAGCACAAGGAAAAGCCGGAGCAGTGTCGATGCATGCTTAGATCCATATTGAAGAAGAATTTTGATTGTGTAGTATGCCAATAATGTTAACTTCATAATATCTTAATATCTTTCATAATAAGTTGAGGTAGTTTTAATTCCATTTTTATTTCCAATTGACATTATGTGGCCACAGATCACTTGGTACCCTAATCGTGCCTGTCCATAGAAGATTTACATTTTTGAGATAGAAAGCAAGCCAATGAAATTACATCTTAGCAGAGCAGAGAGCAAAGCTGAAGTGCGTAGTTATGGAAGATGGAAGCATGTGAAGAGAAAAGTTTTGGTTTGCAATTTGGTGATTGGTTAAGAGGCATCTACATTAAAGGTTATGTAAGATCGCATGATTAACTTGAATGACGCAGTTTAGACTAAAGTGCTATTTTTAGAACAGATAGATGACATTCCCAAATGAAATAGAAAATAAAAGAGTTTATAGTGAATTAAATTTAGAAGTTTTCATATTTTTTATGTTATATATATAAGTGATATTTTAATGCACACTCCTTGAAAGCGATGCGATAATAGAAGAAACTGGTTCTTTTTAACATCTGCCATTCGTAAAGGCTGAGTGCAGATGCATGAAGACGACGTTGACAAAACTGAATTCAAAGACTTGCAAAATTTACTTTTCTGCACATCAAATCATTTTTTTTGTTGACAAGATATTTCTAGATCATAGTTAACTATAATAATTTTTATGTACACGAGTTAAGAAACAATACTGCATCATCTTAGATAAAGAACAATTAAGCATAGCAGCACAGAGATGTTTTGCAGGGCAGAAGTTAAGAAAATGGTGAAGTAATTGCTCGTGAAGCAGTATTTATACTATACTAGGCAGGTGCATATGTACAGCTAAGCCATGGCTGGTTCATTTTAGGTTTTAGTTCTCTTTGGAAGCAGTGTTATGAAAGCGTCGTATGATTTTGGAAAGATCTCAAATTTGGGAGAAAAGATGAACTTTGGAAGGGGGAGAATATCAAATTTAGAATAGTTAATTTTGAGGTTGCCAATTATTTCTTAACATAGCCATCATATTTTATTATATCTTATATACATATATTCTATATGTATATATCTTAAAAAATTCTATATGTATATATCTTATATATATATCAAGGTTGCCACTCAAAGAGGAGAATGAAATTCTCTGACTTTTCCAGGTTTTCCAGGTATGTTTCGAGAAAATTCCAGTCTATCTGCGTAATGTACGTTGGCTGTGCTAAGAGGTAAATTAATTATGGTATTACTTGTACTGTGTAGCAAATTCACTTAATTATTCAATAAATCCCAGAGGACATTTATTCTTAATTATTCTTGGTACACTTTGTTTGATAATTTTTACTTTTCCGCTTAAAAAACTTAATAAAATTTAAGATATATACATTGGATAAAACTGTACGTTTTATTTAATTATACTCATGATCATCCCCCAGTTCAACACGAGGCTAATCTGGTTCTTATAAATCACAACGCAATGCTAAAAGTTAGGTTAGATTTAGGTAAATTTAATTTGTGTGAGGTGTATTCTTAAAAGGGCACCTTAACACTTGAAAACACAAATATAATTATAATAGGAGTTGTTTTCTCCACTGAAGATTGAAATTTGAATCTGCCCAATCTGGAATAAAATAAGGCTTTTTTTGCAGACATTCTGCAGCTAAACGAAAGAAAGAAATCTATTTAATGATATTTTTTTACTAAATTGAGGTATTTTATA